AATAATTTTAAAATTGAAGAAAAGAGAAATGAAAATAAAAAGAAAAATAAAACTAACAAAAAGAAAATAAAACTAATCTATAAGGAGAATAAAAAAAAAAATCTGCTAACAGAATAAAACTCTATTCTACAATTGCTATTTATTACAATGTTTTCATTATTTTATAGACTATGGCTATTCTTTAAAAACTAGATACTCTTAACTAAAATAAAAACTGTATTCACTTGTAGAATGGAGTTTAAGCCAGGCACTTTTCATATAGGAAAATTCTTCAAGTAGATGAAGTACTATGCCAAGGTTTGGAGTGTACTTAAGCAATCCAATTCTTCATAAACCTCTGTAACCCTTTTTTTAAAAAATATTATGTATATAGCTTTGGAATATATGTATATCTCAATATATTTTTGATCTTTTTGAATTAAATCCTTTTCTGATTTGCTTTACATGATTGGCTAACTCATGTGTTTGTTGTGTTCCTTATTTGCCATGTTCAAATAAGCATATAATTGCAAAAGAATATGATGTACAATGTTGATCTTTTGATGAGAATAAGCCAAATCTTCACTTTTCGAAAAAAAAAACAAAAAAAAAAACAAAGAGAAGATATATCATTGTTGCAAGAGTTCAAGTTAAGGAGATTTTTCTAGTTGTTCTTTTTTTTCTTCTGCTTCTAATATTCTTAACCAAAAAACTGATTTTGTCTCTACTTGCTTTCAGAATATCTTTTTAGTTTGAATACTGAATATGTAAGAAAGTCCATCAAACAAAAAGCTTAACCCAAGGCAAAAACCACTCAAGTTTTACCTGCTTCTCAGTATATTACATACTTGAGCTTTGTTGATAGCAAGTTTACTTAATGTAAAACTAAGAATATTATTCACTTTGAAGCCAGAGTTTTTAATCTACTTTTGGTGCCAACTTGGTCTAAGTGATCATCGAAAAGAGTTGATATATAATTATTTGAGTTGTATTTATATTACTATATGATTTTTAATTTATGTTATTAACAAATCTATTTAAAAAATAAATATTGCTAACTGTTTTAGTAATTTATATAGTTTTTTTTTTTAAAAAAAGTTGTACTTTATAGTAGCTATTTTATTTATATATATAATATTAGTTTATAAGTATTTTTATAAAAAATAAAAATATAGCTAGCTATATGTGCAACTTTTAGTTGCCTATTTAAGTAGTTTATTTTAAAGTTTTATATTAAATGCCATATTTATAATTTACTAAAAGATTATTTATTTAAACTTTATAATTATTTGCTCTGTTAATCATCTAATTATCATTATACTTTTTATATATATTTAATCAATATATATACTATTTGAGTAGCATAATACATTTTTAAACTAGTTTTTAGACTATTATATATTTTAAAGTACAATATCTGTTAGTAAAGTTCAGAAGTCCTTTTTTGTTAACTATCTATTTACTCTATAGACTATTAACAAAAACTTGCTTTTATAAAATTCATCTGTAACTTAGTATATTTCTACTTTGTCTTTAGACTTTCAATTTAAATAACTCAAAAGAACTATAATCTGTTTTTGATATATTAAGTTTAATTTAATATTTTTTTTTTTTAATTCAATCTAATAGCATAGTTGGTAGTACTCTTATTTAAAGGTTTTTGTTTATTTAATTTCTTTATATTAATATTTATTTTCTAAATTTAGCTTTTATAATAATATTATTAAAAGGAATGCAAACTGATATTAAATAGTATATATGTTACTTATTAATTTTTTTTAATAATCATTTAAACCAAACTTTTCAAAAAGCTAAACTACAGAAAAATGATATAGTTAATATATTAAACTTTATAAAAACCTTTTTGGAGTACTATACATATATTATAGAACATTAAAATAGAGTTAAAAAGGAGTTACAGCCTTGTGGTAACAGTTTAAAAAGCACTCTAAGACTATAGAAGAAGTAGTCAGTAAAAGCTAAGATTTCTTATTAAGTAAACAACAAAGTTGAATATATTAGTTCTATATAACTGTAAAACCTATAAGGAATATCCACAAGAGTTAAAAACTTACAATAGCTAAAAAAGTTAGTTCATCTAGCACTTCTATTTTTTTTTAAAGAAAATTTTGTAAAAATAGATAATTTAGTTTGCATCTTTCTAAAGATTGCTATATAAAATTATCAAAACAGTCAGCAGTATTTATTTACTAAATAAGATTGTTGATAACATGGATCAGAACTAATACAGTGATACAAACATGACTATACATATGTCTTAAGCTATTAAAAACTTGTTAAACACTGTCTTCAGACTAACTAGTATTCTATATCAACTCTTTATAATAAAGTTGAAGTTTTTTTCTTTTTTTTGTTTTTTTGTTTAAATAATTTAAGTAAATAGAAAAATAGTAGAGTAATTTTTATTTAGTATAGTTTATAATTTTTACAAGCCCAGTACAGACTTATAATTGTAATTGTCTAATATTTATAAATTGTAAGTTTTATGCCTAATATAGACTTAAAATCATAACTGTCTGATTTTTTGTAAATTGCAAATTTTACACTTTTTTTTCATTTATCTCTTTTTCTTTTTTATTTTTTGTTTTGTAACTTTTATTATTTATTTCTATACCTCTGTTTTTTTTTATATATATAATCTTTCTTTTTGTTTTTTTGCTTCTTTATAAAAAGACATTATCAGATTGATGGTATTCTATTGTAGGACAGCAATAAAACAAGCAGTTTATCTCTGTTTGGAGTAGTATAGCAGGTTATACTTTGGTACTAATAAAGTGACTAGGTGATGCTGGATTTAAGTATTAGAAAAATTTTCTATAATCTGTATAGTATTAAGAATTCTAATAAAGTACTAGCATGACTGTTTAAGATAAAAAATATTAAATAGTACAAATGCTAGATAAGTTCTTATAGCTATATAAATCTATTAAAATTAGAAAACAAGAAGTTTATTTGAGAAACTATAAGTAAAAAAATAGCATAGATTATTGATAATACTACTGTAAAAACTAGACTACTAAAAATAAATATTAATATTAAAGTACTTAAACTGACAAGAACTTCTTAATAAAGATATCACTAACCAGAACACTAAAATTCTAACTAAGAAAGTCAAAGAAAAAAGATATTAGGCTGATCTAATATATTAATAAACTGATTATAATTTTATATAGACTATCTGAATTGAAAGTTTAAAAAACAGATAAAGGTATACTAAAGTACTAGAAATATTCTATAAAGTAAATATTGAAGTTTAAATAAACTCTACAAAGATATAGTAGTTTAATAAATCTGATTGCAAGTATTAATTCTACTATAGTAATACTAAATTAGTTATAAAAATAGATACAAAAAGTTCTAAAAAGTTTATTTTAAGGATAAAATAGTTTTAAGATTGAAATGATGATCTAAATATAGCTTAGTAATATTAAAATAGATTGCAGATTCAGAGAGTTTAAAATAGAGTATACAAGCAAAGATATTAAATATAACAATTTGTAAAAAACCTTTAGGCAGACTTCTTAAATAAGTAATATAGAAAAGTTATACATATAGTCAATTATATACTTTTTTATAATAGTTTATAGAATTACATTACCAAAACAATTGTTAATAAGAGTTAAAAGACTAAAAAAGTTATAAAAAAATTAAAAAATAGTATTATTAAAGATTTGTATTATTTTTTATTTAGGTCTTTCCAAATAAGCTTCAGTTTTTTTTAGTTTTACAAATTTATTTAGTTATAAGAACTTATTTTGAATTTGTATTGTTTAGTACTAGTTTGTATTTCTTTATATAACCAAAGTTATACAAATATTTTATAATTTGCTAGTCATATTAATATAACTATAATTATAAGTATTTTATTTTAACTAATTAACAGAATATTGTTACTATAATATTATCTATATATTATATAAATAATTATTCAAATTTTTATCATTAATAAATTTTGAACTTATATATATGATTTAAAAGATTGACAACTTATTTACTTTACTAAGTTGTTATATTCTAATTTTATATATTAATTTTTAAAAAAAAATCAAATTACTTATTTTTTTTAAAAAAAAATAAAATAAAATAAACTAACTTTATAACTTTTATAATCTTTTGATTTTATAAATATTTATTATAAAATTTATAATTATATAAAACTAATATATTTAACTTTATTATTTATATTATGAAAATTTTGATTTTTACTTCTACTTTTTTTATAGTTTCAGACCATTTTTAAATTATTATCACAAAACTGCAACTTCTTTTTTAACTTTATTTTAATGTTCAACTATATATATATAATACTTTAAATAAACTTTTTGTAAAGTTTAATATATTAATTAGTTGCACTTAGATACCAATAGAGTAGTTGAGTGATGCTAGACTTGAGTATTAAGAAATTCTATATAATTATAAATGTATATAGTTTCAAGAATCTTAATAAAGTACTAATGTAACTGCTTAAGGTTAAAATAAAAAAATAAAATAAAAAATATATATATATTAATTATATTATTATTTGTAGTTTAATTTTTGAAAAATTTAATTTAAATAATTATTAAAAAAAATTATATCTTGTATATAATTTTTAATTTATTTGTTTTGTACAAATAGTAATAACTATATAGTTAGTAGTTTAATAATTAGTCTTAATTGCAAGTATTGACTTTAACTATAGCATATATATGTAGGTGAGTCAATAAAAAAAAGCTAAAATATTTTTAAAAAAAAGTTTTCTTGATTTTAAATTTAAATATTTTAACAACTATTTTCTTAAATTTAATGATTTTTTTATTTTAATTTTATATAATTTCAAGATTAAAGTAAAAAATTTTTTAATAAATTTGATTAAATAGTTGTTAAATTATTTTAATTTAAAATTTAAAAAAATTACTAAAAATAATTTATTTTTTTTCTATTAACACCTCATATATACAATTGATTTACTAATTATATTTATTTAAACAGGTTTTGACATAGTGTGTGATATGATGGTCATGAGCGGATATCAATGGTGGCGTACCCAAAACTAAAATAGTTTATAGTTTTGTTCAGATTAAAAAGATATTTAAAATATTTTAAAATATTCCAAGTAGAAAATCAAACAACATAAAATTATAAGAGAAATTTGAAGCAAATATCCGAAATATATATTCCAAAAGATAGATTAATTATATTATAGCATGACTTAATTTTTGTTAATGGCATGATGTATAACATGCCAAAATTTTTGGCTGTGCAACACACCCTAGTCTAACGGTATATATTTTATATACTTTAGATATAGTTTTGCTATAAAAAATCTATATAATAAATAAACCAAAGATTATTTGGCTTTGTTTAATTTTTAAATTAAATAAAAAAGCTAGTGAAAGTTATAAACGAAGTTTTTTAATAATTCTTAAATTAAATAAAAAAAACTAGTAAAAGTTATAAACAAAGTTTTTTTAATAATTCTTAAATTAAATAAAAAAACCATTAATATTAAAAAAAAAAAATAATTATTAAAATTTTTATTAATATTTATAAAACATTGTATATATATAACTTTTGGTTTTGTATAGTTTGTAATATACTAATATCCTGATCCGTATATAAATAAGCGGAAACAGAGTTTCTACTAATTCCTAACGGATTAGGATATTATTATTACTATTTTTGTTTATATTTAGGATTAGAGCACGTACTAGTATAGGTTTTTTTTTTTTTGTATCTAGAATTAGGACAGGCTGTATGTAGTTATATTTATCTAATATTTATATATAGACAAAATACTATTATAACAAGTATATATATTTAAATATTAGCAAAACGCCAAATAATAAATTAATTAAAATAATATTATAAAAACAATAGTAATATGTATTAATACAGTATATATATACAGTATTATTAAAAAAAAATTATTAATTTAAATATTTTTTTTTAAAAAAAAGGTATATTAGAAATAAAATTGTAAACAAGTTTAAACAAAATTGTTTAAAATAAATTACAAATTGAAAGATATATAGTGATAGCATTTTTAATATATTTAATATATATACAGTATTTGATAACTTTTAGTATGTAAGCAGATCGCTTAATTGAAATATCCAACCTGTTTATTCAGGTGTTTATTCAGGTGTTTATTCAGGTGTTTATTCAGATAGTTATTCAGATGGTTATTCAGGTGTTTATTCAGGTGTTTATTCAGGACTTGATAAGCAAAATAATACAAGTAGCACATATTATACATAGAGAACGTCAGGGCTGAGACAAAAAGGAACATTCAGTATAGCTTATGTCAAGAGAATACATGTGTACGTGCTTCATATACTAAGGCAAAGTTTGATAATCACAGCAATTTAAAATTCTTATACAGTATTGAATCATCATTATAGGTAAAGATGGTAGTTAAATTGCAATACCATTTGAGTGCGCCAAGTCTTGTTAACCACATATGAATAGAATACATAAAAGGTAAAAAATAAATTGTAAATGTCTCATTGATCATTCATTAAAAAAAAAAAAATAAAAAAAATTTTTAAGTACATTCGTATGTACATACAATGAATACGGAATGATTTACTATCCTTATGTTACGTAAAAGTATAAATTTATGGAGAATTGTGAGATAGTGTAACACATAGTTTGTTAATGACCATAAATATGGAATGAAATAACTTGGAAATTCCGGTTTGATGAAAACATTTATTTAGCTAATTTGGATAAAGTCAAAGCCTGCATTAAACTTAATTTCACTCACGAAATTCTTTAAGAATTCTATTAAAATTAAAAGTAATACATTACGATGATATGCATATAGACAAAGAAAAAGACAAAGACGCAAGATATTCCGAATTTTTTTCTGTTTTAGATTACAAATGGATTTTCAGCTTTTATGTTGATTAAGGTTGAATATCAGGGTTTAATATATTAAATACAAATTAAGGAATAACTCTTGAAATCCAAGAAAATGATTATAAGGTTCCGGAATTTGAAGATAGTAGCATAACTGATCATGCATAATCGATTCATTGTAATTTTCGCCAAGCTAATTATAAACCAATTTCTAAAAATTCATTTATCAAGAAGATATTCATAGATATTCATAGATGATATATTCATAGAAGATTAGTGATGCACACAAAAAATAAAAACATATATCGCGTGGTTCGACCGACAAGATGAATTGTTTTAAAGCAAATACGCAGTATATATGAGAGAAGTAGTTTTAGTTTGGTTTTATTTAGATATATTTAGCCGTATTTAGATATAATTAGGTACATTCAGTTGAATTTATTCGAATAAAATATAACAATCATTGGGGAAATGTTGGGGAAATCGATTGGAAATCAATGGAAATTCTTTAAGATAGTATCATTGGCACAGCATAAATTGAAGGAGTTTACTCTCCGAATTGAGAAGAAAGAATCTTGGAAAAAGTCTATAAAGTAATACTTGAATATAATTAAGTAATAAGACTTAATGATTAAATAAAATGATGAAATCTGACATAATTTTATTTACGTTTTGAATGATATAAAGTTTCATTAATGTTCACAAATTTATTCATAGAATTCATAGAATTCATAGAATATGCGAGAGAATGTTCTACATTTTTACTATCGCCATAAAGATGGTAATGTTTTCAAAACCAAAATTAAGTCTTTTGTTGAATCGGGAGTTTATTCATAATTAACGTATGTAATTAAAGTGAATGATAATTAAAATAACCATATTTAGACAATGCTTGTACAATGATTGTTTGATGGCGAATGGACGGACAATGTTACCAAAATTACGTACACAGTCGACACATTGTTCGACAACTCATTCACTTGTTTCATGTATGTTTGACCAGTTGACCCTGTCAAGGAATTTTGATAATGGGTTTGGCGTTTTCTAAATTTATTCATATAAAAGAGTGTACAAATGTTTGTCATTTTTGTCGGGCTAATGGACGATCACGTGAGATGTTTTCATCATACGGTCTTAAAAGAATCGGGCCGGATTAAATTTTAACACGGTATCATGCGTCGGTATTTAGCGTTAGTGAGAAAACATTAATATGCGATAAGATAAGGATTTTACCGAATCTACTATTGTATACACATCCACAAATAATATTTTGAAACGTGGTTAAAAAAAATTGTAGGGAATTATAAAGGGAATTATAGGAGGAGAATTACAGGGAATTACAAAGAATTATAGGAAATAACGATGTAAAATGTATATCACATTTAATACTACAATATTTGATATGTAGTTAGTAACCCTGAGTCATTAAAAGAGGACAAAGAACTTGAGATTTAGCCAGATTTAGTAATCTATTATGGCTTTTAAAAAATTATACATCATATTACGCATGCAATTGTCATAACAGTCATATGTGAATCGTCAAGATAATGGTTTTTTTTAATTGTGAAGAAGTCTTAATATAGAATATTCGTTAGTTGGTAACAAAGAGTACGCAATAATATGGAATTCCTTTGATGCCAAAAATGAAATCCTGTATGTATAAAAAGGAAAGTAAAATAATGAAATATAAAGAACTATGCTAAATTGTGGAAACATTTAATTTGCTAATCAGTTTATGTGCGTTTCACAACTTCTTTTCTTAACAAACATTTTACGAGATGAAAAGGAATGTGATAATTGATGTTTGTTAATGCAAGTCATGATCGTGCATAATAATATTTCTTAGTCTTTCTAGAAACAAAGCAAATCATTACTAATTATTAATATGAATCGACTTTATAGAATTTGCCTTACAGAAGAAGTATTAAAAAAGTTTAAAAAGTTTGTAGATATATGTATCATATACTATATCATACAGTATATTATATTATATACTGTATTATATACTGTATTTTACATATTTTTTATATTTCATATTTACAAATATTTTTTTTATATTTCATATTCACAAATATATTTTTTTTATATTTCATATTTACAAATATTTTTTGTAACCGCCAAACTAATAGTTTTTTTTTTTTAGGTAAACACTTTTTATTCAAAATGTATTTAGCAAACATGCTTTTTCACTAAAAAAAAAAAAAAATAAAATAAAATAAAATCAAAAAAAAATCAAAAAAAAAAAAAATAAATAAATTGAAAAAAATCAAAAAAAATTTTTTTATACAAAAAAAAAAAATACGCAGTTATATATATGTTATATTAAATCGTGACGTAATGTGATGCTTTTTTTTTTAATGTTATTATATCGATATATAGTAATAGTACAAAATTTTAACAACCAGCGAAAAAAAAATACGATTTTTTATTTTAAAGATTAATAATATATAGCATATAAAAAAGTTGTAGTTTTTGCATAGTAATCATAGCATATAGTTTGTGTTTGTGTTTGTGATGTATTTATAAAAAAAAAAAAAAAGTTTGCCAAATTTTAATGCTAAATTATGTAAAGAATGCCAAATGAGTAAAATATGAAGTAAAAAAAAAAAATCGAAAGAAAACAATGGGTTATATTAAGGTAAATATAAATTGTCCTTGTTAAAATGGTTTTTTTTTTTTGTGTTTTGCGATCGAATATATTAAATATACAAACTAAAAGTAATAATGATAATAATTTGATGAGATTTTTACATGAAGTCAATCTGTTAATCCGATTCAGAGAGGCCATCGGTGTAATCGTTGACATCGTAGACAAGGTCTGGATCATAATTTACAGAGTTAAAAAAGCCAAAGTCACCAATGTTATAAAATTGAAAATTATTATAAATATCGGCATTTAAATCGTAGAGAACGGATTCGACAGGTATCAAGACAGGTTGAAATATACCGGCTTGATAAGTTCCCGAAAGATTCTGTAAGATCGGAGATTCTGATTCATTAGCGGATTCATCAGCAGATAATTGTGGAGAAGCCGGTGAAGCAAGTAAAGGAGGAGATTGAGGAGGTTCTTGAATGGGCAAATTGGATTGTCGATTAGTTGTATCGTAACCGCTAGCAGTACGGATACGTTTGTTTCGAATACGATCGTTTTGTGAATGACTAGATGGAGAATGTAAGGCCCATTCTTGATAAAGAGAAGCAGCTCTTGTTGCGAATCTTTCATATTCCTGTTTTTGAAATAATGGAAGTAAATTCCAGGCATCTCGAGCCCAGCCAGAGACAACCTTCATTGGTGAGAATTGGCCACGGCGATGTAAAGCTTCGTTGTATTTTGTTCTAAACAAAATAAACGCGTTTGGAGGTTTTTTCTTTCCTTTACCATTTTTAAATTTGTCACCTAGTTCGTTAAAGTCGAATGTTGGAGGAAACTCAATTTCCAAGTCTTTTGGAGGACTGGTCTTAGACTGTTGTTTTTTTCCACATTCATTAATAAAGAGGAATTCTTTTGTTGAAGGCATAGAAGACATTTTACCGAAAGTATTTGTTGAATGGAGGTTTAGAGCTTTACGTTATCTAGAACTTAACGTTATATAGGGCTTTTATACGTTAAAAAAAAAAAAAAAAGAAGAGAGCTATCTTTTTTTTTAATTATTTTTTTTTTTAATTTTTTTTTTGCTTACGGAAGGTATGATTGTACATTGGAAAATTTTGGAGTTTATATAAAAAAACGATGCATAGTTCTCATGATCGTCGTTTTTTATTGTCATTCAACATATCTTTATGAAACAAATCCTGCATATGTAAAAACTGATGACTATAATTTATTTTTTATGTTACGCAATACCGCAATACAGATACAGTTGACCTCTTACAATATTAATAATTTCTTTTCGTTCTTTTGGTTTTGTAGAAAATATTTTACGATATATAAAAAAAATTTTTTTTATATGCAGTAGCATGTATAATAATAAATGAAGATATTTATTACAATATATTTATTCATTCTAAATCCTGGAATGTCATTATTTGATGCTCTGCCAACTCTAAATTATCAAGATCTTTCTCGTTTTTTAAGGACCAGTAAGTATCCTTTTGTTTTTTTTTCTTTTGTCTTCCGTTTTGGTTATATATACATTTTTTTTTTTTTACATTGATTGCATATCACGAGCCCTTGTCAACTTTTTTGCTGCATTGTTGAAATACTTTATATTAAAATTAAATTTTAAAATTCAAAAGTTGAAAAAAAAAAATTTTTATTTATATACGTTAGAACAAGTTAAGTAAAAATGCATATAAACAAAAACCTAGTTTTAGATTTTTTTTATCCACGGATTATTTAAACTAGAATTAAGTCTAATATTCATTTAACCACTTCATTAAATCGGTTACATACAAACCTTATTATACATTTAAGTAAATATTTAACATTATTAACGAAAAGAACTCGCATAAATATGGGTTAGGCACTCCGCTTCTAACTCTCTCAGACTAGTCTACAAGAGGTCATTCATTGATTATATAGTTATCAACAATTGGGGAAATTAGGGAATGTAGGGAATATACTACATAATATATATATATATATATAAAGTTTTTTTTATCAAATTATGTTATATGTTGAATTGATTTCTTTTTTCATGAAATTAAGAAAAAAAAAAAAGAAAGAAATATTTAAAAAAAGAATATTTTTATCAAATACGTATATAAAAACTGGTTCTTTTTAAAATAATAAATTTGTACATTACGTCAAAAACATAAAATATCTATATTGAGATATAATATGTAAATAAAATAAGCTTATTAAATATATTTATACATAAAAAATTTGAAAATATTGCAAACAAGGTAAATGTAAGAATGATCAGAGTCCTATTAAAAAAAAAAAAAAAAAAATGTAGGGAGTATATACAGTACCTTTCGTCCGTGCCAGCTGCTGACACAGGTAGAGAATTGATTAATTGGATTAATTGGTAATCGGTACAACAAAGTATGAACAATATCCAATATTATTTCAGGTTTACAGACTGGAATATTACTTTAAAAAAAAGAATGGAAAAAATCGAGTAATTCTATTGGTCTATATGCTGCATATAAACAAGAACAAAGGCAATACATAAAAAAAAGACGGATGATTATTCTATACTATTCTTTATTATATTTCTTTATCTTTTTTTTTGTTATTCTTTCCTATTCTTTATTATTCTTTCCTATTCTTTATTATTCTTTGCTAATTCTTTATTATTCTTTGCTAATTTTTTATTAATTATTCTTTTACTCTTTTACGTGTTTACAGATATACATATTAGATATACATATAAGATATACATAATAGATATTATATATGTATTTTTACAATTAAAAAATCATATAACACACACGTCATTCGCAGAATAAATTTGGTGTATTGATGCACAGATGATATTAAAAATGAAATAAGTTATTTCCAAAAATATTCATTAGAAAAATAATTAATTAAAAATAGCATTTAGAATACGCGGCAATTGATCAAAATGTGTAAAAGAAAAAAAAAAAAAAAAGTATATGTATATGTAAATACTGTATATTACGATCTTTTGTAATTAATACTAATTCAAATAATGGTCGATGATGTCTAACGAAAAGGCATCATTGGTACGCACATCATGCATCATATCATCGTACAGCCCTATGACACTCCTGATTAGTATCACCCTTACATATACTTCAAACAATAGCATTTTTTTTAAACAATGATTCTTTTGAGTCAATAATGAACTTTGTACAAATGACTACCCCATGTATTATATTTGTATTATATTTGGATTATATTTGTATTATATTTTGTATTATATTTGTATTTATATTTGTATTAGATTTGTATTATTTGCCGTATTATTTTTGTAATATTTATGTGATATCATATTGCAACGTAGCACAGGTCATTTGGAAAGCCGAATATTTTTAATGTAAAAAAGTGAATGTAAAAAAAAATACTATAAAATGAATGTAAAAGTGTTAAGATTTAAGGTTTATCAATTAGGCGTATATATGAACCAATTTCTGATAAAGTTGCTTATATATGGGCTTGAAATAGTAATCAAAAATTCCGGATTCTCCGAATTTTATCAAAAGCTCCGAAAGAATTTTATTTGTCAGTGAGTAAATGATACATAAAAGGTTACAAGAAAGCCGAAAATGATCGATGGGCTGGCAAATTTCAATTTTTTTTAAAAAAAGATGATTAATCCACAAACACGTCCATCCTATCAAAAATCCCAAAATGATCAAAACATTGTTCACCTGACGTATTCTTTTACATTATATGCATGATATATATTAACATATTAACGCAATGCAAGAATGCAAGCAAAACCTATCCAGAATTCATTCAAGAAAATGACAGGCCAGGAAGCTTTTCGTGTACATTGTTGAAAGCTTGCTAATCTATATTCAAAGGGCTGTTCATTTTCTTAATTCGGCCATCAATACGTATATATGATAATCCTATTTCACCTGAGTGGAACTCTTACATTATTTATTTATTTATTTATTTTTTATTTACATATTTATTTATTTAATAGATGTTTTTTTTTTTTTTTGCCAGAGTACCCCAAACTTTGCTTCACTTTTCTAACAATATTTCTCACAATAATCTGTCATACAAACATGTGTAAACATATATGAACAAATTAGCACAAAATGCTAACTACTTTATCATAATATTTACAAATTTAACACCGCCGCGAATTATCCAACACTTAGTATAAAAATACTATTAAAATACTATAAACATACAATAAAAATATTATAAAGATAATAGACCATCATCAGTTGTCAGACCATCATCAGTTGGTAACATTGCATGATCAAGTACTCACGCCAAAAAAAAAAAACTTGTGTAAAATTTATTTCCACGCGGCAACTTGTATGTACTGGCTAATTGACATATTAACTCAAAAGTTTCTACATTCATGCAGTAAGAAAGTTTTAGCGAGTCAAAAATCCCTTGACTGATTTTAAATATGGCTTTATTTTTCTTGCATTTCTTGCATTTCTTGCATTTCTTGCATGACATTTTTTTTATATTTTTTCACGGGAACCAATTCAACCATATACGTTTATCCATTTTATGAAGTTACTTGCATGGATAGATGGATAGATGGCAATGAAACAACCACATTTTGCATTATTGTAAACTTTGCAGTTCTTTGCGTTCACACATTAAATATATTGTGTACTGACAGAAATTAATGTAAAAAATTTTATATTTATACAGTATTTATACTTTATATTTTTTATATTTATATATATATATTTATATTTATATATATATTTGTATATTTATGTATATTTTGGTATATTTTTGTATTTTGCATATTTTTGTATTTTGTACATTTTTGTATTTTTTGTATTTTTTTGTATTTGGTATTTTTTAGATTTTTTATGGTCTTTGGTAAAACACTACATCATTGAGTATGCATTGAACATATCATTGGACAGTAGATCATAAATAATCTTTATTTTGACAACAAACAAGCATGTTTGTTTTTGGTTGAATTTTTGTAACGTAACAACATTAAAAGCCTAGTTAGCATTTATAGTTGATAGTCTAGGTATGTCTGTTTAAATTAAATTCTAGTGAAAATCTAGTTTTTTTTTTATATGATTTTCCTAAATTAGTTTCTTTTTTTTTTTTATAGGCTAGTAAGATCTAAAGTTTAGGTTTAGTCTAAAAGAAACTGTTAAAACTGTTAAAACTGTTAAAATTGTTAAATTGTTAAATTGTTAAATTGTTAAATTGTTAAATTGTTAATAAATATATATATACAAATGCACTCCACTAAATTTAGATGCAAAACAAACATGCCATCTTTTTTTTTTTTTTTTTTTTTGCAAAAAAAAAACCTGCTGACATGTAAACATGTATTTTCTAACTTAAACTTTCGAAACTTGTTTGAAGTCCTGTATTATTCTTATAGTTATTTTTTTTTCTTAAACTTTCAATCATATAATCAATCATATAAACACAATCATATAAACACTAAGTAATATTCAGATAAACAATTGATCTAAAGAAATAGTTAACGTAAGAAAAAAAAAAAAAAAAAATGGGCGATTTTCTTGACTATAAAAAACTTTCAAGACTTTTGAATGCTTGGCAACTTATCTCACTGCATAATTGTTCATTTCCTATTTTGAGTCTATTTGCGAACCATATTATGTTACGATAACCTTGTACAGCTTTCAAACAACTCGTGGCAAAGACCTGTAAAAAGACGAAAGCTCTCAAATTTTTTTCGAAAAAAAAAAAAAAAGTTTTTTTTTTTTGACTATTGGTAATGCATTACATATAAAGTATGGAAAATCTTTTTTACGTAATTTACAGTAAACGATCATCAGCAGCTTACTTTGCTTTATCGATTATACGCACGCCACTCTAAAAACACTAACAAATATGCATCTGACCAACCCGAGGCACATAAAGGCACATAAATTACATAAACATCAATTCGCTTTTTTTAAAATGTATGCGAGTTCATGCGAATTG